CAATTTCATTCATACGGCTTAAGTCAACCCATGGTGTAGTTTTCAGTGAATTTCCTAACAGTCCCACAACCTGGGATTGTCAGCCTGATATTATCAAGAAGTCATATCCTTGACAAATTAGCCATGTTGGACCTCGTGGTTGGAACATTAGCCACTTGACCATATATTCCCATATCTAAACCCCAATACAACATTGTAAGACTTGGCATAGATTCTTTATAATATGAATTGTTGGCAGAATTCCCAGCAATAAAGAAACGGCAAAAATCAATAACAAAAGTGTCAGGTATTTAGGTTAGCATTTCCACATGGGAACACATTTCAGGCACATATTCGCCTTTTACATTTATATAGGCTTTCGCCATATCAAACTTAAATACGGTTCTCATTGGATCACCGACATTAACCTGGTCAGTACTGAGATGAGGGATTGCTTGGGAATACCAGGTGCTTGCTTGGGAATACCAGGTGCAGGTGGAGTAACAGATAATGGTTCAGAATGAAAAATCATAGACCAGAGTTTCAATTCCAGTCAGGTTCACTATATTCACATATGTGCTAATAACCTTGGAAAAGGTATGAATCCACTTGCCCCCACCCCTTAGCTACAAGTTAATTAATAGAACTTGCATAAGAAAAATCAATTTCAATCCAAAAGTATTTGCTGGCATTAAATAACCTGCAAAAGGTTGATAAGTCATAAAAATCAATCAATCAATGACTATTTCAAGCATTTCTCTGTGTATATCTAGTCTTAAAGCAATCTGTAGATCAAAGAAATTCTAAATGCAAATGTGGCTACTTCATGTTGCTTCTCAAAGTACCAATCCAAAAGTGAAGCAAATTCCAAGAACATTTATTTTATAAACAAAGTTACCTGACATTGCTCAGAAGAAAAAAAAGAAAATAAGCCAGTTTTAAAGAAATTTCTGACATGCTTTCACTACATTTTGAGAACTCATAATTGGGTTGGATGAGATCAGAACTGGCCTCTGAGGTCACTGGTGACTGATTTTCTTTTTGCATTGTGGCCTTGAAGGTAATATCTCATGTTGGTTCCAAAGACCATAGAGAATGACTGAAAATACCTCCCCAACTCCCCAATTTATTATAGGCAGAAACACACAAATTCATGCTGAAATTTCTTCCTAGCCAATAAGCTACTTGTTAGCTGACTCAGTCCAGATCTGCCAAGTCAGGCAGTTCACTGTCAGGCTAATGGCTGGTTTGTCAAACTCTCTGCCTTCAGGCAGAGAGGAACCCAGATGAGGCTATGCTGAGGGGCAGAGACACGTCTGGTGAAGTAGACAAACCCAACCCTGTGTATGTAAGGTCTACGGGGAATTTTTGCTGAGCATACAGGCTCATAATCGCCCCACATAAAAAACGGCCTTGTGCCACATTTTGATTTTGTGGGGAGGCTAAAGTAAATAACATCAGTCCCGATCTGTCTTGTCTTGGTCAGAACACTACATACAATTATCCAAATTTGCTTTTGTGTGTCAATCCAAATTCTTAGTTTGTGAACTTTTTGCCTTATTACTGTTGCTTTGTCTTATTGTTGTTAATTTGCCTTCCATATATTATTTGCTTGCTTTATTTTTTTTTTTTTTTGCCTTGTTCTTTTTTTCCTTTTCTTCTTGTTTATTGCAAACTGTCAATTATGTTTGTTGAACAGTTCTGTCATTTACTTACATTTAACCATGACCACACACTCTACATTTCACCTCATAAAAGTATATATTTTTTTTTATTTATTTATTTCAATACAGAGATGATACTGCACATTGATCAGATGGCAATGTCAGTTTCTAATCAAATCCTGACCCGTATCTATTGTAAGAATTATTCTAGGCATGAGAAAGGGTTCTTCAGTTTGATTTCAGACAAAGTCTGACATTACAACTTTCCTTTGTCCCATATTTATAGATATAACCTCATTTGCATGCATGTTTGTTTTTCTTTACTTAAATACCGAACAAGTTTTATGCAAGTCCATGTGATCTATATTTATGTCAGTTTGAAACTTGGTCCCAAAAAAGACTTCACTTACTGGTCTCTGATTCTGGCTGAGAAGCATTGGCTATGGCAAATCTAGCACAGAGATGAGCATCAGCGACAATATTGGTCCTGCTAACAGAATGTAGGCACTATTTCAAATAAAACAAATTCAGTTATGGATATTTTTTTCTGTATTTCTCTTTATGAGTCATCATTAAAATATTAAATAATTTGTATTGAAGAGTTATTCCCCTTGACCATCAAAATTCTTTACCAAAGAGATTTTAGGCAAACATGGTTTGGTTTGTTTTATGGCATATCAACCTCAATGGGTTATTTAATACCGACAAAATTTTTATTGCTGGTAATATGTTTTTCTTCAAAAATCTATTTCTAGGAATATTTTTCCTTGAAGAAATCTATAGCTGATAATATTTTTTTTCTAAGAATGTATAGCTGTTTGTATTGCTAGTACTTTTTTTTGTTTTTTTAAAGTATTACTAATAATAATTTTTCCTTCAAAAAATTGCTGGTAATATTTTTTTTTTTTTATTACAAAGTATTTCTGGTATTAAAACCTATTTTTACACAAGTTTGGGTGTCAACTATTTGCCCATAGCTGGGACCCTAACAGGTGCTACCACCCCAGGTCAGGGTGGACCTGGGAACACCAGCAATTAAGAGGTGGTTCCACGCTCCTCAAAACCTCCTGACCGGAAGCCTTGCTGTTGGATGTAGTTTATCGTCTTACCCAGGACAGTGGCAAACATGAATAAACATGCCTGCAATAAGACAGTGTCAAAAGGACATTTTTTCCAATGATACCGCTTTTTGAACTCAACAATGTTGACTGTTTTAAAAGAGAATTATTAGAATTTAAAAACCTACACATATGAAAGTGAATTGATACTTTTTGTTCTTGAGAATTTACAACAGAAATATTAAACATTTCTTTTTTTATTTACAAGAATTTTATATTTACAACTTACTAAAAACTAATACAATTAGAACTAATACAGTATTTATCGTTTACCAATTTATAAAAAAATGTGAAAATCTTTATTCATAAATTTATAAACATTTACTAAATTATTAAAATATGTGAACCAACTATAAGGAAATCATTATTTATCATTTTAAAATTTTTTATCAATTGGCAATTAGCCAAGGTTTTGTCAACCATTCCAATGAATAATAAATAGTATAAATAATCTAATACATAGGGTTTTCTTTTGTTGTCAATTCTCAAGAACAAAGAAAATGTATAAATTCCTCTGTTTAGGTTTTATTAAAATTCTATTAATCACTTTTTAAAACAATAAACATTGCCAAAGAATGGAGGTAGTTAAAAAAAAAAAAAAAAACCTTCCTTATTATAGGTACATTTATCTGTTTACCTGCTTTTCTCAGAGAGAGCAAGTCCCCTCAAAATTATAAGGCCATATTAATTGGCACACCTGACCATGGTCATAATATCAAAAGCTACAGTGGAAAGGAAAAAAAAAAAAAAATGATGTTCAATAATCAGGTTGTTTGAAGGAGGGATTTTAATTTAATTTTAAAAATTTCAACCATACATTTTGTTGTCAATTCACTCAAATTTATTTCACTTGCTTCTAATATTAAGAATAAAATGAAAAAAGACTTTCTGAATACCAAAAAAAAAAAAAAAAAAAAAACACTAAAAAAGTTATTTCAAACAATTAGCGACACTTACTGGGAACTATTTAAAAATAATGATAAACAAAACTTCAAAAACATGAATTTGTCGAACAGGTGCAAAATAAGGTTATTTTTCTCTTGTCAGTACATGTTTTTTTTTTTGTTTTTTTTTTTAAATGACCTATTTTTATATTTTAAAAACAAAACTACACCTCAATGACCTAATGTTTGTTGTAAAATAAGAGCAAGCAAATGCAGCTATACACGGAACAAAAGATGATGATGATGATCATTTTCTTCCACCTCATGAGAAACTTTTTTCTTTTTTTGCTTTCTTTGAGTTCCACCCTTTGGTAAAACACAGTGTAAGTACTAGGTGCTCTTCAGTACAATTTGAAAGTGCACAACAAGCGTCATTTACTTATTTATTTCAACCCAAATAAAAAAAATACAATTTCTTGCACACTTAATGTACCAATATACACAGTAGAACACGTTGGTATCATTCACAGCCAAATACAACAGCAAGGAGTAGAATATACAAACCCCACCCTACAAAAGACCACGTATATAGGAAACGCTTACAAACTCAATTATAAGCAACCAATATTTATTATTGAACCAAATAAAGGCTTATAAACCGAAATATTAAGGATCAATATTTAACTATCCCTGAACCAAGTAGAGGCTTATATTATGGAAAAAAAAAAAAAACCTGATAAATCAACCACTTCAACCTAAACAAGTGTCAGTGGAAGGGATTTTTGGTTAAAGTAAATTCTATCTGCAGCAGCACAAGAAAAACAGGAAGTAGCCATATTCTCCTTAAAACAAAAATGGAAGCAATTAGTGAACACTTGCAAGAGCAAGCATATTATTCATTAAACACTTGAGTTAATTTTCTGACCCATTCAGTCAACTGCCACAATTCAGACTTTCTTAGTTTGCAACAATCAGGCCAGCCAAATTCCTAATAAGACTGACAAGAAAATCTTATTCTTTCAGTTGTAGAACATGTATATTTAAATGATTTGTAGAAAGTGAAGTTCAGCAGATATTTGACACGAGTGTCAGAACAAATGTCATACATATTGGCACCTCTGCCTTAATTCAAAGTTTTGCTCTCTGAAGAGTAAAACACACACACAATTATGTGATATGTAGATATTTGTATAATTTATTCATGTATAATGTTATTAAATAAAATTAAGTAGAATCAATAATTAACTTCTTCCTGTCAATAAATAAAAATTTGCTGACTCATCACAAACCAATGTTATTTAACTTTTGACAAGGCCTTCATTACTAAAAAGATTATGCATCTATGATACATGCTGTTAATTTATCTTCTGTAACTGTGACAGAGAGGTGGGAGGGAGAGAAAGGCGGAGGAGAGGTGGGAGGGAGAGAAAGGCAACAGGGACAGAAAAGAGAAAATTCTTCAAATTCAGTGAGAATTTGTAATCTTGTCCCACACCCAAATTCTTAGAAATGGGAATAAGTAAAACGATATGACTAGTGTGGATTTTATAAGTAAAGTCTACAGCTAACAGCCAGTCATAATAGGGTTAAACTCAGGGGTTTAATGAAAAGAGACTAGAAAGCAAACTCTGATCTTACAAGCAAGTTAGAATTACTTCAATTGAAAAATTTTAAGTTATTTATTAGAGCTAAGATTGCAAATCTAAATTTCTGCAAAACCCAAAATTTAAACAGGATACAAAACAGAGGAAGCAATAAGAATATCGAGTTGAAAAATTCAGGACTGTCTCACAAGACAATAATCTAGAAGATTAACACACTTGTTTCTGATTGATTGATTTTTTACAGTTTATCAAACCTTTGGGTTATTTAAAGCCAAAATATATATTTGATTATAATTTTTTTTTTCTTTGTGAGTGTATATTGCATTATTTTTTTTTTGAGAATGATTTTTTTTCAGATTCAAGTGTTACTATTTAATCCATAGCTGGGGGAGGAGATGGATACACAAAGGTATTTCTGTGTAAATGAATGCAATGAAGTCAGTTAGATTTCAAACTGCTCTCTGATTTCACATTCCAAGCTATTATCTGTTACACCACCTGCACATCCACTACTGGTTTATGAATCTGGTAGCAGAGTAATTGTGAGTTCAATTCCCGGGCTGAGCAGTACAGGCTCAGAGGAAACAGGCCTGACAATAAATGAACAGTACTAAAAAAAAAATAACAATATGAAATATCCCTAGACATAGAATGAGAACAATCTATCCCTGTAAATTAAATAAAGGGCTCAGTTTGAAATATTCTGGCAGTTAAATGGAATGACAGTCACCTGATTAAGGCTGGTGGGCACTATAGCCAAAATGTTGAGATAACAACAACAAAGATGAGGATATTGGTCTCACAGTAAATAATATTTGGGTCAGTTGATTAAAAATGTGAGATTTGTTAACAGCAAACAAAAATAGGATAGATACTTGATGATCCTGGCTTTTATTTTCACATGGCCTTAAAAATATTTAGAAAACATGCTAAAGGTATTTTTTGAATCTGGTTGAACTAGGACATCAGAGGAAGGAGAATAGTTTTGATAAATTGATTATGAGCCCACTATCTATTTTTGGTAAGCAATAAATTAAGGAAGGATTTTTTTTGGAGGAAATTTTTTTTTTTTTTTTTTTTTTAAATCATTTCATCCCCAAGCAAGGTGATAAAAGCCACTAAAAACAAGGGTTACTGAGTGAAAGAATCTAAAAAAGAAAAAAAAAACATTAAGGAGAAAGGACAATAAAAGAAAAGGAATTAAGACAGAAGATAACAGTTAGCATTTCATTTAAATTTTTGAAGATCAAAGTGAACTGGGGAACTTTTCTGTTAATTCACCCTAAGAAATTATAAATTTTAAATCAAAATTTGTTTAGCTAGTCTTGCAACAACTCCAACTCTCAGAATGAAAAATTCTGAAAAATTAGGGAGTTATTCACATTTCATAAGTGCAGATGATATTTGAGGTACTGACAGGGAATGTTTTACAATTTAAAAAACAGAAAAGAAAAAAAAAACAGAAAAGAAGAAAAAAAACAGAAAAGAAAAGAAAAACAGAAAAGAAAAGAAAAACAGAAAAGAAAAGAAAAACAGAAAAGAAAAGAAAAACAGAAAAGAAAAAAAAACAGAAAAGAAAAGAAAAACAGAAAAGAAGAAAAAACAGAAAAGAAAAAAAAACAGAAAAGAAAAAAAACAGAAAAGAAAAAAAAACAACTGTTTTTGGCTTGTTTATTGAGGTGAGCATGAATGCAGACCCCATACTTAAAAATTGCACCCATGAGTGACCCATATTTGGGGCAATCACAAAGGTCAACTCAACCGGAGTGGAATAGAAGGGCCTCACTCTGGGAGCGTGAATTTGGTGTGAATTTTAGTAAATATAAATTATTTTTATTTTGGGATGAATTAACAGAAAAAAAACCTAGACTTGAAAGCAAGAATCCAAAAGTTTCACAAGCGAGGAATGCTAGACAAGAAACTGTTAACATAGAACTTATGGTTAGATTGAGTAATTTCAACTGCAAAAGTACTTTGAAATTTCTCAGAGGACACCTTTTTTTTTTTTAATTTTATTTAGCAAGGTTTTAAAATATCCAAATGATGGATAGATGAATATCAATAATTAATTTTAAATTTTGACTAAGCAGAAATAGTAGTTTTTGGAAAATACTAAATGAGAAAGTATTTTCTTTTACCAGGAATCCTTGATTGACTGCAGGTGGATGTTTAATAAGTGTAAGAAACAACACTGTTTGGTGATGGTAAAGAGTGATCAAAGTCAATGTAAGTATAAAGTAGACAAGATGGAAGCCTGAATCAAAGAGTGACAAGCCAAATATGGAATAGTACAGGAAATGATCAATAGAGAAATAAAAATCATTAATCAGAAAACATGATTTTAGTCACCCTCCCAAGTATTCAACATAAACTCCTCAAACGTACCAAGACCAACTTTGCTATCCTTTTGACCTATGCTAGGTTTCAAGATGAAGTCATTTGTTGGATGATTGTGGCAAAATTAGGAAATTTTTAAAATCCTACCAAACTTAGAGTTTCAGGATTACTTTTTGTTCAAAAGTCTGTCAACATTATTCTGCATGTATGTCATTTTTTTTTTTGTTGCTACACACTCTTCATTTATTTGAAGAATAACCCCTTAGAAAATTAATGGACAGACTGTAGCTTCAAGAGACAAAGAATCTCAATAGAGGAAGAGTTAATTCAACATTTGTAACCCTGATAGGTAATTGAATGACAAAAAAAACCTCTAGCGTGATGAGTTTGGCCTATAGAAGGGACTTCAGACAAATAACTGTTTTATTGATGTAGTCATATATATATATATATATATATATATATATATATATATATATATATATATATATTCCAGATACAAAACCTATGTGGTGGTAGGGATAGATTCATATCTTTCCCAATGTGAATGCATTGCAAGCAAGGAAGCAAGCTGTGTGACAGAAATAGATATATAAACAACCACCCCAGAGAGGAGTTTGGCAGTCTCTCAGATATCACACAGGAAAATGTAAGGTCCATGTTTGGACAAGAGGCTTCAGGAACTGCACACATACACTGGCTAATAGGAAATGATGAAATATTAGAGTGAATAAAATGTGAAATATGAAAGATTCAAGTCTTGTGTTATCATTGGGCTGAACCTCTATTTCATTAGAAAAAAAAATCTCCAAATTCATTCATTTTCTATGTGCCATGTCCATTCAGGAAGATGGCTCTCCACACTTATTCAACCATTTGCTCAAACTTATCAAGTAAGTTAATTATCGTTTCCCTCTGCTTCTCATCATCTATGTGCTCTGTGAGTATTAAATTCTCTAAGCTTTCTTTCCTCATAATATTTATCACTCTTAATTGTTATCAAGTTTTTTTGTTTTTTTCTTGGTAATTCCTATTCTTTTTGTTATCTGGCCTGTCTATGGTATTCACAAAATCTCAGACACTTCAAATCTTTACTTCTTTTTATGACTGCCGCCATACTGGAATGGAGACATCATATAGCATCACTGAACTTTCTTTGTTTGAAATGTTCTTAATTCTTTAGTAACTTTCAGAAATTGAATAGGATAATATCTTTTACATTTCCTTCCTTTCTTTTTCTTTTGCACCTTTGAATTTCTGGGTCACATTTATTTATGCTGTCTTCTGTACAACCCAGAATTTTCATATTTACTTGATTGTTTTTGTCCCGATACATAACTCACATTCTTGGACTATCCATTTTACTCACAATCATGGTATTGGGGGTGGAGGGAAAGGAGGTGAGAAGTTGAGATGAAGAGGGAATGGATAGGGGAGTGAGAGACAGGGAGTAGAGAAAAGTAAACAAGGATTGGAGTGGGGGGTGGAAAGAAATTAGATTGTAGGGGGGGAAAACAGGAGAGGGGAAAAGATTAAAGTAGATAGGAGAGAGGGGGAAGCAGCAGATGGGAGGGGGTGGAAAATGGGGAGGGGGCGAAAAGTAAACAGGGGAGGGGCGAGTGGAAAGTAAACGGGGAGGGGCGAGTGGAAAGTAAACAGGGAGGGGCGAGTGGAAAGTAAACGGGGAGGGGGCGAGTGGAAAGTAAACAGGGGAGGGGCGAATGGAAAGTAAACGGGGGAGGGGGTGGAAGAGAAGTAAACAGGGGAGGGCGAGTGGAAACGGGGGGCGAGGGAAAATAAACAGGAGGGAAAGGAAAAAAGTGGAAAGTAGACAAGGGATGAGGATAGTGTAGACAAGAGAGGGAGAGAAAGAAAGGAAAAATAGAAAAAGGTGGGGTGGAAGAGTATGAAAAAAAAAAAAAAAAAAAAAAAAACAGCACTTTGTGCTCGTTTTAAAATAGTTTTATGAAAAACTTCCAGAATCAGAATTTCAAATCCTTTAAAAATAATCAGCCTAAATGTTCAAGCAATCTTTATTAAAGAAAAATTTATGCTCTCTGGCAGGAGAATTTTTTTTAATAGGAATTTGCTAACATTGCTGGTAGATGGAAGTAAATATACGATTTAATAAACAGAACGTCTATTCAAATACGAGTATCCACTAAAAATAAAGTTTATTTTAAGGTGATAAAAAAAATCTGTCAAATTAATGAATATCCATTAGTTTCTTTAGAAAATTTTGAAAGCAGCACTCAACATCAAGCAGTATATATTTAAGAAGTAATTCCAAATTTATTTGAAAGGTTTTTATATTTTATGCTTCTGAAAAAGTGAGAGTTAAAAATCAGAAAAAGGACAAGCTCAAAATGAAACCAGTCATCAAATCTTCATTCTTGAAACACAAACACGAAATTTACAATTTATAAAATGTAAGAGATTTACATGTATCTTTGTCTATTGATCTTTTGAAATCATGAATTATTCAGGTTCTGTTTCTGTAAGAAAGTAAATTAGATTTAGCTAAAAGTTTGTTTATCTTGTGGAATTAACAGTTTATTCAAAGAAAATACAGATCAAATCCAAGTTGCAAAAATACAACTGTCTGGAAAGTGAAGGAAATGGTAAGCAATTCCAGTCAAGATTGGATAGTTTAAGGTTGAAAAACCAAAATATTTGAAATGATTAATAAAAAGGTAGTACAAAAGACAAGTAAACCAACAGTAGACACTAGGCCCAATACAGTTATTTACAAATACTAGTTTTGGTATAAGGATTGAGATCAATAGTAATGATTTACAAGCAGACAATTATACCACAATGAAGTGCACAATAAATATTCAATAAGTATAGTTTAGTACAAGGCCATAAGTAAGGGAGCATTTAGTGGCTTCTGAATATAGTGGGTGGGTTGAATATTACTGATAACTTTTGTTAACATCACCACATTTGCATGAAATAAAATATATTGGTATCCCAAAAGTGGTAGAATTTCATTGCTAATTTGTGTTTTTATTTCAGTAACAACTGTAGCCCAGAATGGCATAACACTTAAGACTGCATTAGCATGTTCAGCTAGCATCTCATTATGAAACGTGGCAGTCTGTGGTACAAGTGCAGAGATGGTGGCAAATGTTTATAGATGTCGTGCTTCAGTAGGTGCCAAAACCATCAGAAATTGTCATTTCAAACTGATGAATACTGGATCCATAGTAGATACCCACAGAAGCAGTTATTCTTCAACATCCAGATTGGAAGAAAACGCTCAAAACTTCAAGAAATGTTCAAGAATATACCCAGATGATTACAAAGACTGATGGACAACGCTGGTGCCTATGTAGGATTTTAACACTGTACTTCTATCATTATACTGTTCATAAATAAAACAAGTTTTACAAAAATTGACCAAGAATCAATAAAGCTAATAATTTTAAATAGCGTAACCTGATAGTACGTATTAGGTTGGTGCATAATTATCAGGCGCTTTTGTAGGTGAGTTATTTGTTAATAAAAATTGCTGTTTTGTTTACCTTTTTTTTTTTAAATAAAAAAAAAAAAAAAAAAAAAAAATCTTATTTTCAGGTTATAAAAATGCAGGTCGATAATCATACTCATATTCGTCATATTATGCCTTACTTCTTCAAAAGAGGATGGAAAGCAGCGCAGTCATTTTGCAATCTCAAACTTTTTGGTGAAGGAACACTCAGTGAACATTGATGCAGGGAATGGTTTGCTCATTTCAAATCTAGTGACACTAGCTTGGAAGATAAGCAAGGAAGAGGTCAACCATTGGATTTCGATGACCAGGCACTTTTGGCATGTGTGGAAGAGGACAAAAGCTTGACAACTCGAATGCTGGCCGAAGACTTCAATGTAGACCATTGTTCGTTGTCACAAAAAGCTTGGAAATGTATGTAAATTGGCTGGATGGGTCCATCACAAACTCTCCAACAACAAAGCTAAACATGCTTGAATTTTCATTGATTTGCTGCAACGAAACAAGCAAGCTCCCTTTCTGAAAAATCTTGTCACTGGGGATGAATCATGGCTTCTCTTGAGAAATGTCAAAAGAAAGAAGGTCTGTGTTTTGCTAGGAGTTTCACCAAAAGGAATACCGAAAAACATGTACTTTATGAAGGCATTGTGGTGTGTTTGATGGAACAGAAGTGGAATTATCCATTGGGAAATCATCTCAAACGGGATTTAGGTATTGGTGGAATGACAATGATGAGCATCAACAGTGGTGGATTCCAGACAAAAACAACAAGCAGCAATTGAACATCAACAGCAATGTCTATCTGGCTCAACTTGACTGTCTTCACGTTGCAATTGAGACAAAAATACAGCACAAAAAAAGAACCATATTTTCTTCCACCATGATAATGTGTATCCACATGTTGAGCACCGTATTGTCAAATGTATCGCAAATAAGGGCTGGGAACTTCTTCCATATTCCCCATATTCTCCTACAGAAGCGCCTACGGACTACCATATGAATCGATCATTGAAAAATTGGCAGATAAACAAAGTTTATGCCAATTTGGATAAGTTGGTGGCTGATGTCAAAGCATAGATCGCTTCCAAGAATCATGACTTCTTTGTCCATGGAATCGACTGTCTTCCAAGCAAATGGAAAGCAGTTATTGAAGTAGATGGTTGATTTTAGTTGTTTTATTGCATATCAAAACCTCAATGGGTCATTTAATGCCAACAAAATTTTTGAAATAGATTCATAGCGATAGTTTGGAAAAAAGTTGTGTATGTATATATTTATTTGAATCATTTTTCAATTTTTTTAGTACAATCCAACTTCTTAAGAATGTATAGCTGTATTACTGATATTTATTTATTTATTTTTTTAAGTATTGCTGATAATTTTTCCTTCAAAAATTACTGATAATAATAATTTTTTTTTTTATTACAAAGTATTTCTGGTATTAAAATCTAATTTTACACAAGTTTAAGTGTTAACTATTTGCCCATAGCTGGGACCTTAACAGGTGCTACCATCCCGGGTCAGGGTGGACCTGGGAACACCAGCAATTAAGAGGTTGTTCCACACTCCTCAAAACCTCCGGATCAGAGGCTTTGCTGTTGGATGTAGCTTAACGTCATACCCAGGATGCAGGTGTAGCTTAACGTCATACCCGGGATGCAGGTGTAGCTTAACGTCATACCCAGGATGCAGGTGTAGCTTAACGTCATACCCAGGATGCAGGTGTAGCTTAACGTCATACCCAGGATGCAGGTGTGGCTACCGGGATGCAGGTGAAGCTTAACGTCATACCCAGGATGCAGGTGTAGCTTAACGTCATACCCAGGATGCAGGTGAACAACGTCATACCCAGGATGCAGGTGTAGGACGTCATACCCAGGATGCAGGTGTAGCTTAACGCCATACCCAGGATGCAGGTGTAGCTTAACGTCATACCCGGGATGCAGGTGTAGCTTAACGTCATACCCGGGATGCAGGTGTAGCTTAACGTCATACCCGGGATGGTGAAGTAGATCGTAACTACACTCTGGAATAATCATTTAAAAATCTTACTGTTGAATTATGTTTCTCTTTTTCATAATAAATATTGTTTAAAAACGCCTGATAATTATGCACCAACCCAATAAAAAATAGGAAGAAAGACTATCTTATAGCTAATGTTAATCCTTAATGAATCAATTGCATCTGCAATAAGGTAATCCTCCTGTTAATCTGAATATTGACAACTGAAACATTTTCAATATGGCTGCCAGTATTTTATAGAAGCCGCCACCTGGTGACACTAGATAACAACCAAAAGTCAAGGGCAATAACTACAACATTAACACTTAAGAACATTGTTTTTCTTCTTTTTTTCCCCCAGCTTCTTTCTAACTAATACATGTGGATGAACGGTAATTGAATAAATGTACTTCCCTATATCATAGCAACAGTGGTGAACCGACGCTTGATCTTTGATTTCATACATGTCAACCCTTTGGCAGATAACATGATCACAAAGAGACGCCAAGGCAGCAAAATTAAAGAATTACCAGTTGGATGATTGTGGCTGAAAGAGACGGACATCAACTGCTGCACCTTATGTGTCCAGTGGAGCAGTAAAGGCAGTAAGAAAAGAAAAGTGCAGATTTAACAAGTTTTATTTTATTGATGACCTATGGATATATCCTGAACATCAACTTCGATGGCTGAAAGCATTTGGCTTAATGGATAAGAAACATTAAAATTACCCACAAATTTGGACATTCTGTTGCTACAAACTTATCATTCATATCCAGTCTTTTATATGAACATATAGACATATTGGCTCTGAGGCACAGATAAGTAATATATGAATTCTATTGACATGATTGAAATTCCTGTATTAAATACAGTGTAACCCGGATATAAGAGAGTTGTCGGGACCGGAGAAGAAGTCTCTTATATCCGAGTTTGGTCTATTTTATATACATTAACACAGGCTCTAATTTGGGACCAGAGAAAATCTCTTATATCCGGGTTTCTCTTATATCCAGGTTACACTGTACCATATACACTGCATGTCCATCAAAACAAACTCTTTCTTTTCATCTTTTTCTGTTCTCACGTTTTTTGTTATTGAATTAAACTGTTTATATTAAATTGACTCCATGGATTCGCTGTTATTCTTTTAACTGATTATTGTATTTTGCATGCCTTGTTTCTATCCTGTAGGCATCCTTTACTTATAGGAACTCAGGAAATCATACCAGAGTTAAATCTCATATACTGGCTTAAGTAAAGTTGAAAGTTTAAAAAAAAAAAAAAAAAAAATAAATAAATAAATAAATTTGTGTTCAAGACTTTGGCCATGACATAAATTTGGTCTCATACATGACAATACGGAGTTTCTTTCCACCCATTCTGTATTAATTATTTACTGGTTCTGGTTACGGAGCATATTATGGACTTTCCAATAGTATAACATAATTTGGCACAGGGCCACAAGTACGGGGTACCCAGTGAGGATTGAATTCACTAGCCACAACAATAGTGGCTTGTTAACCATTACTCCAGAAGGTAGCCTTACAGTTTAAACTAAATTTTAACTATAAGTGTTTCTTCCTTGCCCACAAATTGAACTGTGTGACACAATTCAGCTGCCCATAGCTACCACAATACCAGACAAAGTGGTATTGGCATCGTGGGTAGGAAAAAGAAAATGTACCAGCTGGTGAAGTAAAAAGAAAAAAAAAAAAAAAAGAGAAAAAAAAGAAGATATTCAGCAAGATTCTAGAATATGAACTAAAAGGGGAGGTGTTGTAGAGTAAGACTCAACATATTTCCTGCTTTTCCCTACTACTGTGACAATGGACTGCTCCTACTTCTAAATATGGCAAGTAGCCACATTAGAGTAGGATTTGAGTAGTATTTAATTTACTAAAGTTATTCCATACTATGTAAGAGTATTTGATAAACCTCTTTTTTGTTTCCTCTACCATGTCTTCTATTCCTGCAATACTCTGTAATTATGGCTTTCCTAATTCTGGACTATTTTGAACAACAATTATTTAATATGTAATCATTAGAATTAATTAAAGTTTTATCTCTTTATTAAATTATGTTGATGGTGATGTGGATTGCATCAAATGTAGAAAATAATGTTTCAAATGGTTTTAACATTTTATTTTGAAGTCAGATAAAAAATAGAGTTTAAAAATGAATGTCTTTCTATATCACTGTCTAATTGACAAATACGTGACAAATAAAATTTAAAAAATAGAGGGACTTGTTGACCTGCCATAATGATAGAGTATTCATCAATAACTGCCTACTGTCTGGACAGTATTAATATAAAGAGAAAAAGGAAAAGGAAAAAGCTGTTGCATCCATTATGACTCATGACAGGTAAATATGAATTACTTAAAAAAAAAAAAAAAAAAAACATTTGAATTCAGTTCTTTTTCCTCTTCATAATTAGTAAGGTTTTTTTTTTTTTTTTTTTGCTACTTCTTTGCTCTGGTAACCTTAACACTGTGAAGACTGTCTCAGATTTCCACAATGTAATTCAAACTTCAGACCTGATAAAAATTTGACAATATCTACTTTTGTTCTTTACTACGATCCCAAAGCAAACCAAGGAAGAAAATCTAGGACAGGCTGTTACTAAAATCTCTCACAAATTCTCACTCCATTGTTCCGTAACAAGCTCAAAACTTTTTGCAGATTGTTTGGTAAACAAATTAGTCATATTCTGGTTTTCACCATCAAACCAACCAGAAAGAAAGAAAAAAAAATTTTTTTTAAATAGATTTCATTCAATCTCCTATTTATTAGTAATGATATTTCTATGAGATTTATGAAGTAACAGATTTTTTATTTATTAATCGGATAGAATTTTATCATGTTAAGTAGATACCCATATTATTGTGCTTAAAAGGAAGTATTCAGTGCTGCTTGATTGGTGATACACTTTGTGGACAAATCGGTTAAAATTATGTCATATCTAAGAACATTTTCTCCTATAAAGGAGGATCCATGTTCAAATCGTACTGGCAGGTGCTTCTTTTTCTTTAAAAACATTTCTTGAATATTCAGGCCAGTAGATGAAAATAAATACACTGTTTAAATAAATGGAGTGTCTACTCAGATGTGGGTATACTGGGGTCAAGTAAGAACTCAGCCTATGCTGGGGTCAAGTAAGACTGACAAATCTTGTCAGTTGAAATAAACCTTTTCCCCATATGAGGTAATTTTTGATTTTATTGTGTACTATTTGGTCTGTAATAGTAAATAGATTGAGCTCTTTTTGTGGATCAGTTTTAATATTTTATATTACTAGGATCCACTAGATTTATTATCTTTACTATATATATATATATATATATATATATATATATATATATATAGTAACCCGGATATAAGAGAG